ACTTTAAATAATTAAAAAAACGTCTAAAATTAAAAAAGCACAATAAAAAGTTTTTTTATGCAAGCTTCTTTGTAGACCTAAAGGTCCTCTTGATTCTTTTTTTTTCTGCCAAATTGTAAATAACGCACTTCAAATGACGTCACTCCGCAGCTGTTTTCCCAGGAGAGGGCGTGGCTTGCTGACGCATTGCGGCTCCCTCCCCGGTGTGGACGGAGAGGCACGCCAGCGCGTGGAAGTGCTCTCGGTGCGCGTGCATGGCTCGCTCAGCAGCAGGAGGAGCTGTGACCGTACAGTTGGGCAGAGATGGGGTGCACAACCTAAGTTTAAGCCGACACCGCGGCTGGGTTTTAGCAGCTTCGGAGTAATTTTTTTCACTTAGTTCCGAGAAATGGCGGCGCCGGAGCCGAGGAGGTGAGCAGCAGCTCGGTCCGCTCACCGGTGGGTGGGGGTTCAAAACAGTGCGCACTCTTTTCTAGTGGGGTCCCATTTTTTTTGTTATTTTCCCACTGATATTCGTGTGGAATCATGACGACGGGACAGGACGAGAGTTCGGTCCGGGTGGCTCTGAGGTAAGTCTCTAAAAAGTGTCTTTTAATGCTCGTTATCTGCTAAACAAATGCACAATTGCTCCCGTGCCACCTGTCAGTCCGCGCTGCGGGCCTAGCTAACACAACACCTGCACGTCAGCAGCAGCAGATGCTCCACACAACCACACTGACCCAATTCACGCCAGGAACTTTATCTTTTAATCATGCCTTTTCTGTATGTTTGTGTGATTTCTCTCAACTAACCATTTTATGTAAAAAAAAAAAAAAAAAAAGGGCACAACAAAGCATTTTGCCCAGGTGCACACACACACACACACACACGGCCCATCCTCTAAGCTGCAGCATGCACAGGGAAAGCTGATGTTATCGTTGGTAGCAGCTCAGCTTCCAGGGAGAAGACAATAATAAGCCTGTTTGTCCAGCAGCCTGGCCTAAAACCTGCAGAGAGACGGTTAATCGATGAAAGAAGAGCTTCACGGACAGCTGAGGGAGGCTTCAGTGCAGCTCCTGTCCATCTGTCATGTCTGCTCTTTGTTTGCAGACATTCAGCCCAGTTATGGGCTATGGTTTCCTAAGCTGTGAAAGAACCTCTTATTTTGTAGTTTCTGTCCTGCTGGAGGAGGCCACTCCCAGCCGAAGTCTGTTCTTTTGTGTTCATCACACAAAAAATGATGCATCACTGATATTTTATCCGTCTGTTTGCGTAAACCAGGTTGTTTCCATCCTTGATAGCAGGGGTGGGCAATCATGGTCCTCGAGGGCCACAGTCCTGCATGTTTTACATGTTTCCTGCTCCAACACACCTGATTCAGTCACTGAATTAAGTTCTGCTGTATGGAGGACCGACACTGACATACAGTGATGTGAAAAAGTGTTTGCCCCCCTCCTCATTTGCTGTTTTTTTGCATGTTTGTCACACTTAAGTGTTTCGGAACATCAAACCAATTTAAACAATAGTCAAGGACAACACAAGTAAACACAAAATGCAATTTGTAAATGAAGGTGTTTATTATTAAAGGAGAAAAWAATCCAAACCATCATGGCCCTGTGTGAAAAAGTGATTGCCCCCTAAACCTAATAACTGGTTGGGCCACCCTTAGCAGCAACAACTGCAACCAAGCGTTTGGGATAACTTGCATTGAGTCTTTTACAGCGTTCTGGAGGAACTTTGGCCCACTCATCTTTGCAGAATTGTTCTAATTCAGTTACATTAGAGGGTTTTCGAGCATGAACGGCCTTTTTCAGGTCATACCACAACATCTCATTCAGGTCAGGACTTTGGCTAGGCCACTCCAAAGTCTTCATTTTGTTTTTCTTCAGCCATTCAGTGGTGGACTTACTGGTATGTTTAGGATCATTGTCCTGCTGCAGAACCCAAGTTCGTTTCAGCTTGAGTTCACGAACAGATGGTCGGACATTCTCCTTCAGGATCTTTTGGTAGATAGCAGACTTCATAGTTCCATTTATCACAGCAAGTCTTCATTTTGTTTTTCTTCAGCCATTCAGTGGTGGACTTACTGGTATGTTTAGCATCATTGTCCTGCTGCAGAACCCAAGTTCGTTTCAGCTTGAGTTCACGAACAGATGGTCGGACATTCTCCTTCAGGATCTTTTGGTAGATAGCAGTGTAGGAATTACTTCATGAAATTAGGACCAGCCTATTTTTCATAAATGTAATCC